CTTAGACCAGAAGCAAGAACCCCTCAGTGCAAGCACTGTTTGGGGAATCTTGGAACAGACTGGTACTGGAGGGGGAGGCGAAAATCAAGAAACTCCAGCGAAGTACAGGGAATCCTGGAGTTTGTGCCTCTTTCTTTGTGTCTCCCTTTGGCTCCTTCGTCTTCTCCTTCTCCCTCCCTTCCTCCGGCTCCTCCTGCTGCTGTTGCCTCAATGTCCGGTCCCCGCGGCAGGCTCTCATTCATCACGCGGACGTTGTCATGAAGCAGGACCGGGATGGATGAGGAAGAGGAGGAGGAGGAGGAGGAGGAGGAGGAGGAGGAGGAGAACGAGGAGGGAGGAGGAGGAGGAGGAGGAGGAGGAGGAAACAGGAGGAGGTGGAGGAGGAGAGGGAGGAGGAGGAGAGGAAGACGAGGAGGAGGAGGTGGGGGGGGAGGAGGAGGAGGAGGAGGAGGAAGTGGATGAGGAGGACGAGGAGGAGGAGGAGGAGGGAGAGGAGGAGGAGAGGAGGAGAGGAGCTGGAGGGAGGAAGGAGGAGGAGGAGGGGGAGGAGGAGGAGGAGGAGGACGAGGAGGAGGAGGAGGAGGAGGAGGAGGAGGAGGAGAGGAACAGGAGAGGAGGAGGAGGAGGAGGAGGGAGGAGGAGGGGGAGGGGGAGTTGGAGGAGGAGGAGGAGGAGGGGCAACACTATGTTGATGTTGGTATTGATGTTGATATTGATGTTGATGTTGATGATGGCGATTCCGGTGATGATGAGGAAGAGAAGGATGAGGATGAAGAAGAGAAGGAGGAGGAGGAGGAGAAGGAGGAGGAGGCAGAGGATGGTGTGCACCAGGGTTCGGCATTCGCTTGCTGCTCTTGACTGTCAGGTTACACGGTGCATCCTCGCCATCACACCTCCTCGTTCTGGTCGTCCTCAACGTCCTACTCCTCGTCGTTGTTGTGTCCGTCCGCCTGCTGCTCGTTTTCATTCGTGTTCCCCCTCTGCGACTTCTCCCTGCTCCTTCGCTACTACATATTCCATGCCCTCTCGCAGGAGAATGCCTTCATCTGGGGGTTGTGCCCGAGCGCGAACCCCATGAACATGGTGGCATTTGTATCAATCTTCCTCGGGCGTGGATGGAGACACAATATGGGTAGTTAAGTGTTACGAGCGCGCTTGGTGGAGAGGTGCTGGCAGAAAAGATCGCAGCTCAACGTGTCCTCGACATGCGAATCGCAGCCTGAAAGGCCCAGAGGAAAACTTACGCGAAGTGTCAGGTCAGCATGGCAGCATGTCACTGTCAGGGAGCGCGTGGGGTGCGGAAGTGGCAGCGGCGTCGACCAGGACTCATGTGAGCAGACGAAGGAAGGACAAGATGTAATTAGGGGATCGAGCAATGACATAAACATAAAAAAAAACTCGGAGGCCCGCTCGGATTTCTCGGATCGGCGCTGGGGCCCCCTGGCGGCGCTTCCGGCGCCGCCCCTAGCGCGCTCCGCACGCCACAGGGAGGGGGAGGAGGAGAGGAGGAGGAGGAGGAGGAGGAGGAGGAGGAGGAGGAGGAGGGAGGAGGAGGAGGAGGAGGAGAGGGAGGAGGAGGAGGAGGAGGAGGAGGGGAGGAGAGGAGGAGGAGGAGGAGGCGGACCGCGCCCTCCGCGCGCGCTCCGCGCGCGGATCCAAGAAATCTGCGCGGACCTCAGAGTTTTTATGCTTCTGCCATTGTTCGTTCCTCTGGCAGTGGAGAGCGGGAACGCAAGTGGACACAGGGGGCGCACAGTCGGAGGTTACCAGAGGTCCTGGCCCAAGGTGCCCCCCCCCTCCTCCTCCTCCTCCTCTCCTCCTCCTCCTCCTCCTCCTCCTCCTCCTCCTCCTCCTCCTCCTCCTCCCCCTCCTCCTCCTCCTCCTCCACCTCCTCCTCCTCCTCCGCCTGGCAACGCCCAGCAAGCGGAGAGGCCGGGTGGGACTGGTCGTAGGGGGAAATGCCGGGGGGCCGGGGATGCGAAGGGAGACACGGGACCAGCCAGGGCCGCCTACCCCCCGATTCGATGCGAACCGACTCGCGGGCTGGGGCCTGAATCCCGACTCGATTCGATTCGTTTCGGCTCACCACCACCAGCCGGGGCCAGCTGGAGCTGGGCGCGGCGCCTCCAGACGCAGCGGTCCGCCTGGCCGCGGCCACGGCTGCCTCCACGGCGGACGCCGTGTGTGGTGCCCCCGGCGTTGCCTAGCGCCCCCCGTCCAACCCCCCGCTCTTGCTGGGCAGTACGGGCGCCCCCGCGCCTTTTCGCCGGCGTTGCGCCGGCGATCCCTCGCGCGCCGTCCTGCCCTTCCTCGGCGGGGCGGTGGGCGGGTCCCGCAGAGGGCAATCCCCCACCAAGCCGCAGCGTGCTGGGCTCGGTCGGCCACCCCGCCCAGGTCGCCGCCGTAGGGTCCGTAGCCTCGTCGCGCGTGGCTCTTCTCCCCTGGTCCCCGGCCTGGCCTTTCTGCTTGCGGTTGCTTTCCCTCCCCTCCTCCCTGTCATCCTCCTCCTCCCTCCGCTTCTGCTCGTTGCTTTCCTCCGTTTCCTTTCCTCTTGCTCCCTGCCTGTTGTCTCCGCCTGGCCCCTCCTCTGCCTGCCCGCCCGCCCCGTCGGCCCTGACCTCCCGTCTGGGCGTTCGTCGTTGTCTGCCTGCTTCTCGCCTCCTCGTCCTCTTCCGCCGGGCAGCACAGCCTGCCCGGGACCAGCGTGGCGGCATGCAGAGACCGCTCGCGTGGCGCCCGCGCGGGGGCATGATTTTCCACCGCGGCGCTGCAGTCGGGACGGCTTGTTGGTGATCCAGCCCGCTGTCGCGTTCCGATCCAGCCCAGGCCTGCCAGCAGGGAGCGGGGCATCGCGGCGCACGTCCGAGGCCCTGCTCGACCAGTGCGCACCTTGCGCCCATCTCCCCCTCCCCTCTTCCTCCACTTCCTCCTCCTCCTCCTCCTCCTCCTCCTCCTCCTCCTTCTCTTCCTCCTCCTCCTCCTCCTCTTCCTCCTCCTCCTCCTCCTCCTCCTCTGTAGGCCTCCTAGATGGGGTCGGAGTAGATGGGGTCGGAGGATCGCGCCGCATCGCCGATGCATTGCCGATGCGGATGGATGTGGAGCCCGATTTGTTTCACGTCGGCGTCGCCGATGCATCGCCCGCGTCGACGATGCATCGCCGGTGCGTCGCCGATGCATCGCCGATGTATCGCCGATGTATCGGCGATGCGGCGCGATCCTCCGACCCCATGTACACTGACCCCATCTAGGAGGCCACTATCCTCCTCCCTCCTCCTCCCTCCTCCTCCTCCTTCTCCTCCTGTGCCGCATTCTGGTTTTGCCGCCCCCCGCTTCCCTGGCTTCCCTCCTTGAGGTCGTTCGCAGTCATGGAAGTGGGGTCGGCCAGGATCCAGGGTTAAATCGGGCTTGTCCCTCTACAGGAGGAAAATTCAAAAATAGTCAAACAATAGCCTGGAGACAATTTTTGATTTAGTTCGACTATTTTTGATTTTTCGTCCAAAATCCGCCTGTAGTGGGACATGCCCGACATGAATCCAGGATTAAGTCTGGCACGTCTTTGCACAGGAGAAATATTCAAAAATAGTAAAAACAAATAGTCAGGGGACGTTTTTTCGACTACTTCTGATTCTTTTTCTGAGCATTTTTTGACTACTGTGTATTTCTCTACCACAGTCCGCCTGTAGGGGCACGGCGCTGGACACTGTTGAATGAGGAGGTAGCTTTGGGGCCTCGATCTCGATGCGATTCGGCTCGGTTCACAGGCATCGTTTGGTTTCTCGCTGGAGCAGGGCGCGAAGGTCCCATTTCGGTTCGTTTGTGGACGCTTCGTTGGCGATCTTTTGTGTTCCCTCACCCGATCATTGGATTGAGCCAGTCAGGATCATAGCTTTCGACGCTGCGTGAAGTGGAGAGAGGACATGTGAGAGGAGAACGTAAACAAGACGGGAAGATGACACACGTTTGCCAGCGTGTGCCCCAAACAGTGGTGGGCTCTGGCACAGTCGACACTGAAACGGTGTGGCGCAGTCTGTGTATGCTGCACTCTCGTTGCAATCAACATGGTGCAACACATGCGCTGCAATATGCGTGGCACGTGCACGTGGGGCAACCACTGTGGTGCAGTGCATAGGATGCAGTGTGTGTTGTGCAAGTGATGTGGCACAAGCTATGTCGCGCACTCCAGGTTGAGCAATGTTTGGGGTGCAAGCTGGGTGGTTCAACCTGATATGGCGTACAAATCGCGTTGTGCAACCCATGTGTTGCCATCGATGTGATGCAATCAACGTGGCAAACCATTTGGTGCATTCTACGTGTTGCATGCTTCCGTGTGCAATCCATGTGGTGCAGTATGTTGCGGCCACCAGGCGAAAACGCAGCATCGCCATCCAGCGCAGGAGGCGCCTGGGCGAAGACCCAGAAATTCCAGTACCTCGTTGGGGAAGCGCGTGAGAGTCTTTTGGTGCGGCCACTGTCGGGGGAATGATATGATCACAAGAGAAGACAAGAGCGGAGAGGATCGAGGAGGAGTTGCAGGAAGGTTGCCAGCGGGCACGAGCCACTCACAGGCATGTCGCCAGGAGGGCAATCGCTCTACTCATTCTGTCCGCCTCAGGTAGTTGGGCACATCTCCAGAAAGAATGGCATGGTCAACGGCTTCCTGTACGGCAGCGCGCCCCAGCGTTTTTCCCGCCCTTGCTGGGTTTCGCATTAGACCCGAGGAAGCGCAACGGCGAAGGAACGCCATTCCTCCTCCCTCCCTCCCTTCCTCACTCCATCCCTCCCTCCGTCCCTTTTCTTCTCCTCCTCCTCTTCCTCCTCTTCCTTCTCCATCCCTTACCGCTTACATGTGATATAAATATAAGTACATATGTATACATGTACATATGTATGTCAATGCGTGCACGGGAAGGTTGTGAGCGAAATGACTTGATGAGACAGGTCAGAAACGAACCTATTGAAATGGGGGACCCCTGGACTCCATAGCCTTTCTTCGGTTCGAGATGGCCCAGGTCCCAGCGGGACACTGGGCTGTCCTCGCGCTGGGGCTTCTCCACATCTCCTCGCTCCTCTCGCCCGCGGGACCGCGCCCATCGGCTGGGCTGCCGCCCTGCGCGCTGGAGGCCGTGTGCCCGCCTGTGTGGCTGCCGCCCGAAGACGGAGGAGACGCCTGTCCTCCTTGTCCCGGGGCGCCGCCTTGCGAGGCGACTCCCGCCGTCTGCCCGGCCCCCGAGCTGGTGCAGGCTCAGGCGGAGCCTGAGGCGGACCCGCTCGGCGCCCTCGTGGCGGCGGTCCCTGGCGTGCTGGTGGCGCTGCTGCTGGAGACGTACCGCATCGTGCGAAGCTGCTGTGGCCGAAGGCCCCCGGCTGCGGAGACCGTGATCGGAGGGCGCGATGGCGCTGCTCCCGCGAGACGAGGGGCTGGAGTGGTGGAGGCTGCTGTTGCCGGGCCAGCGGCTCGTCGTAAGATATAGTGACGATCAGGTGGATCACGAACGCGTGCTCCTTTACCCGAGCTTGCCGCCGGGCACCTGGGCCGCGTTGACGCCTGACGGCGACGAGTACGAGGAGGACTACACGGGCGCGAGCCCGCAGACTGGGCCCGAGGGCGCAGCCCTGATGCCAGCAGGCGGAGGCGCGCCCGAGGGCTGGCCGCGGCCGATCTACCGCTTCAGGGCGGCCCTCTCGGTGGAGGAGCTCAAGGCGGCGATCATGCGTGGCCGCGCGCTGGTGGAGGAGCGTCTGCCGGGGATCGCGCCTGGGCCGCCTGCTGAGGTAGCGTGCCCGGACGACAGGCTGGTGGAGTGGGCGGACTTCTTCGGCGAGGCGAGGCGGCCTGCGCTGCGACGGCAGCGAGGAAAGCAGCCCTCGGCCCCGCTGGAGGACGACCGCGTCTGGGTGGTGGCCGAGCCCGCGGAGAGCGCGGCGGTGGGCACCGCCGTGGATCGCTCCGACGACCGCTTCGTGCCGGCGACCGCGCTGGTGGGCCTCTTCATGTTCCCTGAGGGCCCGCGCCGCGTGGAGGCCCTGCTGGCGGGAGACCTCCCTGGCTATGCGGCGAGGCGGCGGCACGAGATGGGCCTCAGCGACTTCCCCGCCGCCGAACCCGACCGCGAGGGAGTCGCCCCCGCTGGGATGGCGGACCTCCGCGAGCGCCTGGGCCGCCCTGTGGGCGCTGGAGGTGCTGCCGGGCCAGACGAGGTCGGCGGCGCAGCGACCCCTCCGCACGGGGCCGGGGGCGGCGACGGCGGCGATCTTCGCATCTTGGAGGTGGACTGCGACGCGCAGGGAGAGAGGTACAAGCCCTTCAGGACCGCCTGCCGAGAGAGTTCGCAAGAGACCTTCCCCGACCAGCCCATCGAGGGGCCAGCTTCGGCTTTGACGGTGTGCAAGAACATGGAGCGTACGAACGGCGACCCCAGATCCTGGCTGAGGGACTTCTTGAGGTCCAAGGGCATCGGCGACAATGACAGAGTGGCGCATGAGATGCGCGTTCTCTGCGACATCCTCTTCTGGGCCGCGGTCTACGACCAAGTGAATCTAGGCGGCCTGATGTGCCTGGAGACGGCGGCGAGGAGGATCGCGGGGCTGGTGGCGGTGTACTCCGACCCGGCCAAGCCTGTGTGGGGCCGCGCCCGCCTGTACACTGGCGCCGCGTCCTCGGACGACATCGCGGGTCAGGCCCTGCTGCAGTTCGCCACCAGGAAGATCAAGGAGCAGCAGGAGGCCCAAGCGGTGCTCTCGCATGGCAAGGGCCCGCAGCGCGCCGAGGGCGACGGCGCCACCGACGACGGCGGCAAGGGTCGGCTGGGGCGCCCGCCACCGAAGAACCAGAAGGGAGGGTCGGCGGGGGCTGACGCTCCCCCCAAGGGGCAATGATGGCCCCTACGGCCGGGGGGGGACCCCGTCCCCGGCCGAGATTCAGGGGTGACGCGGGGTCGGCTTGCCGCCTCGCGCTGTGCCAGGGAGCTCTTCCCGCTGCCGCGCTGGCGCCTGCCTGAGCTGCCCGTGGCCGGCTCCGTTCGGAGTAAGGCCCTGCGGCGGCGGGAGAGGCTGGTGTTCAAGATGGGTAACGAGGCGGTGGGTGCTCTGAACTGGCTTGCTGGTTTTCGGAACGGACCGGCCTACTTCGATCCCGACCCGATGCAGCTTGAGGTTTTGGAGCGGATCTGCGAGTTAGCCTCGCGGCGGTACCCGGGTCCTGACGCTCTCAGTGAACGCGCGGCCGTCCGACGGCTGCTGCGCGGGCATGCACCGTGCGATGGGGCGGGGTGCCTCACCCGTGTCGCGCCTTTCAGAAAGGGCCTTGTCCCGTTGCCCGAGACAGTGGAGGGCTGCCCGCCGTTTGAGGGCGTGGCCCCTCCAGAGGTCCGGCGATTCCTGAAGGAGCACCCCGAGCGCATGCTGCGCGCTGACAGTCCCTCTTCTACCGTGACACCTTACTTCGACCCCGCCCTGAAGCGCAGCGTGAAGACCTGCAGACAGTTCATCAGCGACCTGCGCCGACGCGGCTTGGTGGGCTGGACCACGCGCCCGCGATGCCAGGTCGGCCTCTTCTTTGTCGAGAAGGACGGAGGTCAGCGGCTCAGGCTCATCCTTGACGCCAGGCCCGCGAACCTTCTATTCGAGCCGCCGCCGGGCGTCAGCCTCTTGAGCGCGGAGGGCCTCAGCCGAGTCGAGATCGCCCTTCCGGAGGGCCTGGGCCCCTGGAGCGAGGGGGCGGAGCGGCTCCTTGGCAGCTACTCTTTGCACGTGGGCCTGGCCGACGTGAAGGACGGCTTCCACAGGTTGCGACTTCTTGGATGGCTCTCCGAGAATTTCTGCCTTCCCGTCGTGCCGGCGTACTTGCTTGGCGCGGAGGGCCAGATCTGGGAGGGCAGGACACTGGAGAGGCACGATCTGGTGAGTCCGTGCTGGGCCGTCTTCCCAATGGGCTTCACGTGGAGCTTGTGGGCTGCCCAGCGGATCAACGAGTACCAGGCGAGCTCTATCTGCCCGCAGCTGCGCGAGAGCCCCCTGACTGACCGTGGCAGGCCCCCCGTCTTCGGTCCCAGCGCCCCCAAGGGCCATGTCTCGCACTGCGTGTGCGTCGACAACCTGGGTGCGGCCTCCACCGACGAGCCCATCGTCACCGATGCGATCGCGCAGCTGGTTGAGGGCTTCGACCAGCGCGGCCTCCTCCTCCACGGCAACTCCGTGGGCACCGAGGTCGCGACGCTGGGCGCCGAGGTCTCGGGGGCCCTCTGGAAGACGAGAGTGGCGCAGAAGCGGTTCTGGCTCATTCGACAGGCCTTGAACGGCCTCCTGCGACGCCGCCGCCTCACGGGCTGGGCGGTTGAGGTCCTGGTGGGCCACTGCGCGTTTGCGGGATTGCTGAGCAGAGGTGCGTTGAACGTATTCCATGCAGTCTACGCTTTCATGCGGAAGTCTTATGCCGAACCGAGGGCGCTGTGGCTCGAAGCCCGCCAGGAGCTCGAGGCGTTCCGAGGCCTCCTCATCTTCTTAGAGAGTGACTGGACGCTGCAGTGGAACGATCTGGTGGTGGCGACCGACAGCAGCCTGGAGGCAGGAGCAGTCTCGACCACCCGTTGGCCCCGATCGCTGGTGGCCGAGGCGGGCCGCGTGCAGGAGCGCGCCCGCTTCCGGGAGCCCGCGGCGGTCGAGACCGACGGTGCTGCCGGGGGCGCTCCTGCTGCCCGCCGCGGTTCGCGAGAGGCGGCGCTGGAGGCGGCTGGTTTCTGGCGCGACGCCGATGGCGAGTGGCGGCTGGCCGAGGGCGCGATCGACGACGACGAGCAGGCCGCTGCGTGGGAGGCAGACCCGTGCTTCCCCGAGGTGCCCGCCGCGGGCTTGGCGAGCAACCGCTGGCGCGCCAAGCAGGTGCAGCGCGGGCGATTTGAGGAGGGCATCCTTATCAAGGAGGCCCGAGCGCTGGTGATGGGCGCCCGTCGTGTCGCCCAGTCTGTGTTCGGTGCCGCCTGCCGTCAACTGATCTTGTCGGATAACCTGTCAGTTGTACTATCTTTTAGCAGGAGCCGTGCAACAGATTTTGCTCTCCTCGTCCAGGTCCGTAGGTTTCAAGCCAACTGTCTCGCGAGAAATCTGAAGGTGTCCGTAAGGTGGGTTCCGTCTGAGTTGAATCCCGCCGATTATGGGTCTCGTTTTTTTTTTGGTTATATATATATAAGAAAGGGGCTAAGGAGTCTCTTGGTGCACTTCTTCCTGATGCATTTTTTCAGAGGAGTCCAGGTTCAAAGGTCCCCCTGAGGTTCGCGCTCCCTTCAATTTTTACCCGCCTGACAATTCTGTGCAGTGCCCGTTGCAGTGTGACCCTCAGAGAGCTCAGTTTGTTCTGCCCGAGTCGCCCGAGGAGTCCGACTGGTCTCTCGGTGCCCATGTTTGCTCTGAGCCCGTGTATTCGAGGTGCGGTCTGACGTCCTCGTATCCCGTTTCGGCTCGAACTTGTTTGCAGGCCCGCTCCTTCGGCGGGCCCTCGTCTTCGCATGCTGCGCCGAGGACTGCGGCGGGAGGCCCCGCCGCCTTCGCCTGGGGCTCTGGCGCGGCGACCGCGTCTGCTGGAGAGGGCCGCGTCGGCCGAGCCTGCAGCGCCGACCTCCCGACAGTTGGTGGCGCGAGAGTCGGGCAGCAGGACCCCCCGAGGGCCGCGGCGCCTGCCGAGGCTCACCGCGGCCCAGAGAGCGCAGGACTGGCAGACCAGGTTGAGCTTGGCCGAGCTGCCGCCAGCGCCCAGGCTGCCCGAGCACGAGCGCGACCTCCAAGCCCTCCCCCAGGGCTGGTCGCGCCCGATCGTGGCCGACAGCGACGACGGCAGCAGCACCTCCGACGATCAACAGGTCGTGCCAGCCGGCGAGAGGCGCGAGAGGGAGCTGCTGAGAAAGGCAGCTCGGAGGCGACGTGCGCACGGCGCGGAGGCGTCGCAGGACAGCACGGCGGTGGAGGGCCAGACGTTCCTGAAGAGGCGGTCGGTGTTCGGGCCCGCGAGGAACCGCTACACTCAGGAGCTGGAAGCCTTCCTGGATTATTGCGATCAGGGCCCGCGGCGGGCCTTGACCACGGCCTCAGAAGTGGGCGAGGCGATGGTCGACTACATGAACCATCTGTTCTTCGAAGGCCACGAGAGCGCCAAGGGCGATCAGGTGATGGCAGGCCTCGTGCACAGGTTCCCGGAGTTCTCGAAGCAGGGCGAGGCCAAAACACCTCGGGCCTGGAGGTGCCTCCGAGGATGGCGCAAGCTGGCGCCCGGGCAGAGCCGCCGCGCATGGCCTTTGGCCCTCTGGTGCGGGCTCGCCTGGCGCATGGTGGTGCGAGGCGCGCTGCAGATGGCGGTGTTCCTGCTCGCGATGGTCTCCGGCTACTTCAGGCCCAGTCATCTGCTGACGCTGACGAGAGGCAACATCATCGCGCCTGCGATGGGAGTGTGCCGCTGGTGGTCGCTGCTGCTGTTCCCAGACGACAAGCCCCAGATAAGCAAAACAGGACTGTCGGACGTCGGGGTGATGTTGGACAGCGGGTGGTTTCAGTGTGCCATGCCCATCTTCCGAGAGCTCGCCCGAGGGAATCCCGAAGAAAAGGTGTGGGCGTTCAGTTACCCTCAGTTTCTGGCAGTGTTCAAGAAAGCGCTGAGCGACTTACAGATTCGAGAGCGCATTGCCCCGTATCAAGCCAGACACTCAGGGCCCAGTATAGACAACGCTCGACGATACAGAACGATCGAGGAGATACAGAAAAGAGGCCAGTGGAAGCATGCCAAGTCAATGCAACGTTACGAGAAGGCGGCGAGGTTGGGTCAAAGCTGGTCTCTCCTGCCGTCCCGGCTGCAAGATATTTTGACACACTGCGAGCTACATCTAGAGGACATACTGCTCGGAAAAGGTGCAGAGACAATTACCCTGTGAGGCGGCACGGCCGCCAGCGTAAGTACATTCTAGATCGGTTCTCGGGTTCGAACTCGATGGGTAAGGCTGCTTTGAAGCGAGGTTTCAATTTCCATGGTTTTGACAGCCTCAATGGGCCCAATGAGGACCTTACTAGACCAGTCGTGCTTGCGCGTGTTAGGGCCGCTATATCTAGGCGTGAGGTGATAGCCGCGTCTCTTGGGCCTCCTTGTGCGTCTTGGGGAACTGCGGCTGATCGGGGTCGTCAGCCGGGTCGCTCGAAGGATTTTCCTTGGGGCATCCCCGACGCCTCCGAATATGCGACTAGAAGAATCTCACAGGGAAATGCCACCTTTCGAGCCGCGTTGAAATTAATGAAGGCGCTTTCCCGCTCGCAGGTGCCCTTTGTTTTTGAGCATCCGATAAACAGTAGAGCCTGGCACGCGCCTGAACTGAAGTCTCTTATCGAGCGATGTCGCATGCATTCTCGAGTGTGCGATCAGTGTCAGTTTGGGGCCCGCTGGAGAAAGCGCGCGCGATTTTTGTTTTTCGGAGTGGACCCCCAGGGCACTTTAAAAGTCCAAAGGCGGTGCCACAGTGTTGGCGGTGTTTGCTCGGCTTCAGGGGAGCCCCGCGTTATCATGGACGGCAAGGCCCCCTCTGGGGCCACGTGGACATCTCTGGCGGCTTCGTATCCTCCGAAGCTGGCTGGCTGCATTGTGAATTGTTTATTGTGCCGCCAGAGGGATTAAGAGGCGGCGTCCTTCTTTTAACCCGCCTCGCCCTCCCAGAGAACCCTTCTGGGATTTTGGGCTGTCAGTTGCGTCCCAGCTTCGCCAAGACGAGTGGCATGTGGTAGCAAAAACGTTCCCCACCGAATGTAGCAGTTAACCTGTCAGTGCGTGCGCGGGAAGGTTGTGAGCGAAATGACTTGATGAGACAGGTCAGAAACGAACCTATTGAAATCGGGGGCCCCTGGACTCCATAGCTTTTCTTCGGTTCCCGCCCTCCCTTGTCTCCCTCTCTGCTCTGTCGCCAGGCTGTCAGTTGCGTCCCAGCTTCGCCGAGACGAGTGGCATGTGGTAGCAAAAACGTCCCCCACCGAATGTAGCAGTTAACCTATACATTTACATCTAACTGTATGTATGTTTGCATGCATGCATGCATGCATGCATGCATGCATGTGTGTGTACGTATGTATGCATGCATACATGCATGCATATATGTATGTATATGTGTATGTGTATGCATGTATGTCTGCATGCATGCACGTAGATTTATACGTAGGTGGGTATGTATGTATGTATATAGGTAGGTCAGCATGTCTGTATGTATGCGTGCATGTAGGTGTGCTTGTCTGCATGTATGTACGTATGCATGTATGTACGCAATTCGGTAGGCGTTTATAGGTGTAGTAGATGCATATGTATATGTTTGTGTATATGCGTGCATGTATGCATGTACGTAGGGATGCATGTATGCATGTATGCATAAGGGTACGATACGTACATGTACATGTACATGTACATGTGCATGCATGCATATATATAGACATACATGCGTTAATGCATGTATATGCGTGTGTTTGGATGCACACATGCGTGACCATATGTGTATATGTATGTTTGCATGCATGCATGTATTCATGCATGTATATATGTAGTGCCTGAAAATGTATATGTACATGTATATGTATTTGCATATATATATATATATATATATATATATGTACATGCATGTATATGTATAGTTAGTTGTACATGTAAGTGCGCATTCATGTATCTATGAGCGTATGTATGATTGCACGTCTGTCTGCATGCGTGTGTGTATGTATGCACGTATGTACGTACGTACGTACGTATGTATGTATGTATATATTTTTGTATGTATGTATATATGTATACGAGTATCGATGTACGTATGCAGGTGTATGTATATATGTATAGGGGTTTGTATTTATATGTATGTGTGCATGTATGTATGTATGTCCGTATGTATATAAACACGTGTATTTGTTTGTCTGCATGCATACATGCATGCGTGTACGTGTGCACATATACACATATATATATATATATATATATATATATATATATATAAAATTCTTTGCGCTTCGCGTATCCCCACCAGCCCATCTCACAGCAGCAGCTCTCGCGAAACGTGTCGACAGTTGTGTTTTTCAGGCGTGTGTCCGCTGGGCTCCGTATATCCCCTGTCCCTCCTTCCTCCCGCCTCCTTGTGAATCTTCCTTGTGGGGGGAGCGGGAGAAGGACGAGGCGGAGGAGGAGGGAGAGAACGCGCTCCTCGTGATTTGAGTCGTTTGGGGTTTCTCGTCCTGGTGTGAGTCGTTCGGGCCCTTCTTCCTGGTGTGAGTCGTTCGGGCTCTTCGTGGTGTGAGTCGTTCGGGCTCTTCGTCCTGGTGTGAGTCGTTCGGGCTTCTCGTGGTGTGAGTTGTTCGGGCCCCTCATCCTGGTGTGAGTCGTTCGGGCCCCTCCTCCTGGTGTGACTCGTTCGGGCTCCTCGTGGTGTGAGTCGTTCGGGGCCCGCGTCGTGGTGTGAGTCGTTCGGGCTCCTCGTGGTGTGAGTCGTTCGGGCGCCTCGTCCTGGTGTGAGTCGTTCGGGCCCCTCCTTGTGGTGTGAGTCGTTCGGGCTCTTCGTGGTGTGAGTCGTTCGGGCCCCTCGTCCTGGTGTGAGTCGTTCGGGCTCCTCGTGGGGCCTCTTGGGGGCCTCTTGGAGCCTCTTGGGGCCTCTTGGGGGCCTCTTGGGGGCCTCTTGGGGGCCTCTTGGGGCCTCTTCTGGGGGCCTCTTGGGGGCCTCTTGGGGGCCTCTTGGGGCCTCTTGGGGGCCTCTTGGGGGCCTCTTGGGGGCCTCTTGGAGGCCTCTTGGGAGCCTCCTGGGGGCCTCTTGGGGCCATCTTGGGGCCTCTTGCGACCTCCTCAGAAGCGCAAATGAGCGCTGCCCCCTGAGAAGGACAAAATGAGCCCAAAACCTTCGTACAATCAATGATTTGGCTAGGAAGGACGATGAGCGCGGCCCCCTCAGAAGGCCAAAATGGGGCCAACACCGTAGTAAAATCAATGATTTTGGCTCCCAAGAAGAGCAGAGGGGCCAAACTGCGTCCCCCCGTCGGGGCCAGAATCCTCGTGAGGGTCGTCGTTTTTTGGCCCTCCCAGGAGTCGAAAAAGACCCCCTTGCCACCACTCGGCCCGCCCTCTCCAGGCCCAGGGGAGGGGGTAGGGGGAGGGGTAAACCCCTCCCCGAAGGGGACGAAGGGGTGAGGACAGACGGGGGCTCTCTAAACCACTCACGCCCAAAAGGGCTGGTGGGACTCCCGCCTGTCGCGCACCCGAGGCGTGCTTGGGCAGGGCGGCCTGGGCGTGTCGCTTTTTCGCTCGTCCTCACACTCCTCCTCCTCCTCCTCCTCCTCCTCCTCCTCCTCCTCCTCCTCTTCCTCCTCCTCCTCCTCCTCCTCCTGAGTGGTCCATTTTCGGTTCTCGAGAGGGCGCCGCGGCTGTCGGCTTCCAGGCCTGCGCTCGCCAGGTTCGGGCGGCGGTGGTGGTGGTGGTGGTGGTCAGTGTCGTTGAACCGATCCCTATCCCCATCCCCATCCACATCTCGAGGCCCACCGTCTCATCACCTCAGTGTGGGGTCTGCCTTGGGGATTGGCTCGAGACCTCCCCGCCCGCCCGGCCTGCTGGGCTGCCTAAGGCCGCCCTGTCGCTCGCTCGGTGGCAGGTCGTGGGAGCTTGGCAATGCCCTCTGAATTCCGTGTCTAGCGTCGACCAGCGCCGATTTCAGTATCGTTGAACCGATCCCCATCCCTATCCCCATCCACATCTCGAGCCCCACCGTCTTACCACCTCAGTTGGGGATCTGCCCCTCGAAGCCCGAAGAGAGCAAGCTACATCCCCTATCAGGGGGGTACATCGGCCAGTGGGGCCCAGCCCACGCTGGTGGGGATGGGGATCGGTTAAACGACGCTCAGGTGGTGGTTTCGCATGAGAGTATTCATCGTGGCGCCGCGCGCATTGGTCTGAACACTTTGCTTCAGCTCCAGGCACGGGTGGCGGCGCGTGTTCAAAGCGCGGCCCCTCGCCCGAGCGCCGCGCGGACTCGTCCCCGCCAGCTGGCATCGGTTGCAAGGGTCGGATGTTGCCAGAAGCACCCCGGACCCAAGGTGCCCCAAGGATGAGGATGAGGAGGAGGAGGAGGAGGAGGAGGAGGAGGAGGGTTGCGCGGGAGGGCCAGGGAGGAGGATGAGGAGGAGGAGGAGGAGGAGGAGGAGGTGCTGCTGGAGGGCCAGGGGCACCTCCAGCAGCACCCGAAAGGGTGGCGGACGATCTGTCTCCGAGCCGAGCTCTCGCGCGAGCCCTCCCGTGAAATCCTTGCGCCCCGGGGCCCGAGAGCGCCGTGGAAAAACCGTGCGGCGGCTGCACGGGCAGAGGTGATGCCTCTGCAAAACTTCCGGGGCTCTCGCTCGAGGTGCCCCTCCTCCTCCCTCTCCCCCTCCCCTCCCCCTCCTCCTCCTCCTCCTGCTGTTCTCCTCCTCCTCCTCCTCCTTCTCCTCCCCCTCCCCCTCCTCTTCCTCCTCATCCTCCTCCTCCTCATCCTCCTCCTCTTCCTGTTTCTCCTCCTCCTCCTCCTCCTCCTCCTCTTCCCCCCCCATCCGCTGCCACACGTGAACTTCCGCGCGCTGATTCAGCATGTGGGGGGAGGTCCTTTCGGCGTCGCCCCAACATGCTTCTACTATATGTGCGTCGACCCCCCCCCCCCTCAGGGGCGACGCGCGCACCGAGAAGTCTTATATGCGTCGTGGCGGGCGCTTCCTGGCCACGCCGCTCGGGAAACGATATAATACAAGATGGGTATGCTAAATGCTCCAAGGAGGACATATAGTATTAGTCGGAGGGGAGGGGGTGAGATCGAAGTGGAACGGAGAGCCCCCCTACCGGGAAATCGGTTTCGGTTTCGTGTTGGTGCATGCCGTGCGTGCGGGCGAGGCGAAGCTGCGTGGGTGGGCG